ATACATTTTGATTGTAATGGAGGCCTGTCACCCAGAAAGCATTCTAAATCCCAGATCTGCACAAACCTTTTCTAGACTGCTGTCATGCAGAAAAATTTATGCCATTTGGGGTCTTAGACCTGCCATATATGATTCTTCTCTCTCTCCTTCTGAAATTCCAACCGGAAATGGCTTAAAATGTTCAAAAACTCAAATAATATTTAAGCACTATTACCATAGAACATGTGAAGGACATTGGGCTATTGACTTGAGACAAGTAGATATCTAAGTGCCAAGACTATAATAAACTTCATTCAGGATTTAACCCCAGGGTGAGTCTACTTGGGCACCTCCATCTGCTTCTTCAGAAGGAGGAAAGAACCAAGGAAAATGTTCAAACTTAGTTGTGGAATGGTGGGGATCACGGACCCACCCAGAGGCTAGAAAAAAAAAATTCAAGGACAGCTCAAGGTTAATTCCTTATTTTGGGGTCTCTTAGTGTGTAGGAAGATGTTTGCTTTTGAGATTGGATTTGAATTATTCTCAACTTTGGAGAGATGTGCCTGTCACTTAGGCCTGATATCATCATAGGCTTCTCAATATGATGAAGGAATTACATTTTGTTTTCAGAGTAGATATTCACATTATTTGATACAGCTACTAAGTCAGCTAGGAGTTGTTCTAAATAAGTCTTTATCTTTCAGCAAGTGGGAACAAGAGACATGAAGAGTCAAGTTGTAGTTTATTATGATGTGGTATATTGATCACACGGTACTAATGAGGCACAGGGCATCTCTAGCTTCAATTGTATTGCTTCTTACTTACTTTCTTGGATCAAAATTCATTCATTTAATGCATAATTATTGAGTGTCCATTGTGTACTGGAATCACTAAGCTGGAGGCATTAAAGTAATTGAGGGCAGTTGAAGGCAATATGCATTACATGGTTAGAAAACTGTTTTGGTTTAGACTCTTACCAATAAAGTTAGGTTTTCCCTCGGTAATTCTCTCCTACCTCAGCGGATTTGGGAAAGAATCAAGAGACAACCACGTGAAAGAGGTAGTAATATTATTAGATGAATTTGGTATATAACCAACTGTTATGGTTTGAATGTGTCGCTTCAAAAGTTCATGTGTTGGAAACTTAATCCCCAATGCAACAATGCTGGGAAGTGGGGCCTAAGAAGAAGTAATTAGTTCATGAGGGCAGAATGGATTAATGTCATTATTGCGAGAGTAGTTTCGTTATCTTGAGATTTGTTGTGAAAGAGTTTAGCCCCCTCTTGCTCTCTTGTGCATGCTGTCTTGCATATCTTAGGATGATGCAGCAAGAAAGACCTTGCCACATGCAGGCCTCTTGACCTCCCAGTTCCCAGACTCCAGAACTGTAAGAAATATATCTCTGTTCATTATAAATTACTCAGTCTGTGGTAATTTGTTATAGCACCATGCAACGGACTAGGATACCAACCATGGGTCTGTTGGTTATATTCCAAACTCTAGCAACTGGATTAGTTATTCTCTGAGGTGTAACCCGTAACTTAAATTTACAAGGTGCTTTAAAGGTGTCTGTATTTGGTGTCTGTTCTTTTGCTTTTTCAGTGTCTCTTACACCACCATAAGTGACATAACAGCATATTTAAATACTTCCAAAAACCGTATTCTATCCAGTCTCCCAGTTTTCTTTTTGCTTTCGCTATGTAAATCACATACCATACTGATCTACTCCATCAAATTCGTCCTTTTATACTTTATTAGAATTCACTATTTTTATTCTTTCTTTTCCCACAAAGGGTTTTAATTAGCATAGTTCTTAGTGTTTATAAAGTTACTACCATATACTTTTTGAGATCAATAATAGTTTTGAGTTATACTTTTTACTAGTTGCTTAAACTAATGTAAGAGAATGATAACTCAAGTGGATAGTAAAAATATAAATTTTCCTTCTGAATTAGGTTGCACCAGATTTCTGGAACCATTGCTAATGCTTTCCTTTTACTTCCTTTCATCAACCTTGCCAAGAAATTACTAAACTAGGCTGTGGATTAAAGAGCACTACAAAGGGTAAACGGAGTAAAAGGAGCAGAAGTAATAATATATATTTTAATTATATATTAACTTTTTTGATAATTTTTTTTCCTGTTACCTAGAGCTAATGGGGCAGTGTGCCTGCAATACTTATTAATAGAGCTTATATAAAAACTTGCCTGAAGGCATTTTAGAAGAAGACTGATATTTAGAATCAGAAAGTATATATTGTAAGCTTCTCTGAAAGTATATATTGTAAGCCTATCTAATAATCTCAAAATTAGTATGTAATTCCATAAGAAAGTTATTTTTATGCAGTTTTTTTTTCTGTTACTGAAATAGGTTAATCACATTAGAAAAATTATCAGGAAAAGATGAGAAAAACAATCATAGTTCCCTAATATAATTACTACTAGCATTTTGCTATATTTCTTTTTAGTCTGTTTTTATATGTGTACCAACAGTTTTTTGAAATTGTTGTAATTGGTATTTTGCTACCCTTTAGTAGCTTGGCATTTACCCCTCTAGCGTATACCATAAGAATTTCTCCATTTTGGTCTGAACATGGTGGCTCACACCTGTAATCCCAGCACTTTGGGAGGCCGAGGCAGGTGGATCAACTGAGGTCAGGAGTTCGAAACCAGCCTGGCCAACGTGGTGAAACCCCATCTCTGCTGAAAATACAAAAATTAGCTGGTATGGTGGCAGGCCCTGTAATCCTGGCTACTTGGGAGGCTGGGGGAGGAGAATCACTTGAACTCAGGAAGTCGAGGTTACAGTGAGCAGAGATCATGCCACTGCACTCCAGTCTGGACAATAGAATGAGACTCATCTCAAAAAAAAAAATTTGTTCATCTTTATATGAAGGAAGGGCATTTTGAGTAACATGCTAAATATTAAACACCATCTGCTTTATTTTGGTAACTCAGTACAATATGTATTAAATTCAGTATGTCAAACATTTATTTAATTGAATAACTTTATTGTTTAATAAGGGCATTAGCTTTGTTTTTCTAAGAATTATGCTGTCTCCTTTGATTATTTATATTGTTTTCATTTCTACTGATGAACACTGACTTTATCAAAGACTATTTCCTGGAATTGATGAGGGCACATAGTGCTGCTCACCCAGAATATAGGGTTAAGCATTATGGTACTGAGGATGCTTTCCAGAAAAAGATATATTGATATTTAATTTTAACTTTTTACCTATATCTATGTAAAGACAATATATATTAGGATGAAGTAGATGTTTTCCCAGCACATTATTGCAAGACACTGATGGTAAATCAAACACAAGTCCATAACTATTTCGTGTATCTTGAAAATCAGTGAGTTTCTAAGATGTTTATTTTGCTTGCTTTCACCTGAGTTCAACACAAAACACTTCTCTCTGAGAAGCCTGTTGGTCTGTTAGCCTTCATCTGTCCTGTCCTACAATGGAGGTTGTCAACTGCTAATTAAACATGAGATTGCATATTTCATTCCTGGTTGTTGACCTGCCATTTATAATTCCTTAATCCAACTCTGACATCTGTGACATTTTCAAGTGTCAATTTAGACAATACAATATGAGGCTTTTGGATTTTAGTTTGCTAACTTGCCCTTTGATTGGCAATAGATTCCATCTATCCTTGATCATATTCTTATCTATTTTATTATATGAGAGGAATTGGATCTTCTTTTGCCCTGTAGCAGACTTGGTCTTTGTTTTTGAGTGTATGGTTTCTTTAGTTAGCTTTGGCTCTAAATTTTTTATTAACTTAGTATAACCAATCATAATTTTTCACAAGTGTGTGTTCTAGGACATCAGGTTTTCTTTGAATTCCTGTCTTGCTTAACTTTTTTCAGGTGAAGTTCTTCGTGCCCCAAGTGGACAAACTCAGTCCCTCTTGAGTTTCTGGGTCAGTCCTAAATAAAGCTACAAGTAAATCACAGCAATAGTTTTTGTTCCACCAAGTCGTTAGTGTGAATTTTTTTGGCTGCTCCAGACTACTTTTAATTATTCCTGTGCTTTTAGGATCATAGCTTTCCCTTTAACCTCCTATTTCACTTGTCCAGACTTGGCTTCTGTCTTGGTTTCCTGATTTAGATCTCTTTCCTGGTATCTTGAATCCAAATCCACTTGACTAAGTGAAATTATTGAAAGCCCCGTCTTTGTGGAGAGGGAAACTTGTCTCCTTTTGTCCCAACTGGGGTTTCCTTCAACTCATGTGGGCTGTGCAGAACTAGGAGCTGCCACCAGAGTTATTCCACTTGTCTACATGGGCTAGCACTGATCTGTTCTGGGTCATCTCTGGACTGTACTTCACTTTCATGCCATCCAGTCTAGTTGTCCAGCTTTCTACTTTACACCATTCAACCTGGAGGCCCTAGAATGTTTTGAGACTGAAATCACATGGACTCTAGAAGCTGTGGTTTCAGTGTGTGTATTAGTCCATTTTCTGTTGCTACAACAGAATACTAACAGGGATGACTTACACAGAAAATAAATTTATTTAGCTCCTTGTTCTGGGTGCTGATATCTGATGCATCTGATGAGGTCTTCCCTGCAGCGTATTACTGTGGTGAGGGACACCATATGGCGAGAGTGAGGGTGTGTGTCTGCTCAAGTCTTCTTATGAAGCCACGAGTTTCATCATGGGGGCCCTTCTCTGTGAAATTATCTAATCCTAATTACCTCCCAAAGGTCCTAACCCCAATGAACATATGAATTTGGGGATTAAGTTTCTAACACATGAAATTTGGGGACACATTCAAATCATAGTATGGGATTGACATACACCCACCAAAAATCTACTAAGGCGTTGAATGAATCTTCTCAATATGGTATAAAATATATTCATGTTCATAATAAAAAAATAAATTGATCTGTTTCTTAATATTGGTTGTTGACAATGATCTTCCTTTTTCTAATTTTTAATTTTTATGGGTACATAGTAGGTGTATATTTATGGGGTACAAGAAATGTTTTGATACAGACATGCAGTGCATAGAAATATGAACGCTTTATGAATTTGCACGTCATCATTGGACGGTGGCCATGTTACTCTTCTCTGTGTTGTTCCAATTTTACCAAATGTGCTGCCAAAGCAAGCACAATGACAAAGATTTTTAAGCTGCTCCTATGACGTTTTGTTCAAAAAGAATATATAGGTTTGTGAAGAAACCTCGAAGTTTAAAATCCTCCTCTATGGTTCTCTTGATTGCCATTTGAAGTGGAAAATGCTGAACTGTCCGTACCTTTGCCTTAATATAAAACGATTTTGTTGGCTTCTGCTCTGGCCATACGATATATGCACAGTGATAGCTTGACATTTTACTTTGGGTAAAAAGAGCCCATGGACTGTGTGCTGGGTTAGGCTAGGCCTCTGCAATTGCTCCGTGTAGGACTGGCACATCTAGGTGAGTTGGTCGTTGTATTTCTCACAGCAGCGTCACCGACATGGGATGGGAACCAAGAGAAAAAGAAGAATGTATGAAGGCATGAAGGGGATTGATTCTTGAAATAAAGTTGCCATTGTGGCTGCTTAGTTCAATCATTGTGGCAACCTTGCATTCTAGAGTAAAAGCATCAAGTCTTTGTGGCAACAATGCTGTCTCATCCCAGTAGCTATTAGGGAGCTGCTGAGAGTTGATTGATCTCTACTCTCCTTTTAACTTGATATTCCTATTAATTTTGTTTCTCCCCCTCATTCATCCCATCCCTTCCTTAATTTTATTTTCTTTTGTAGCATGACTAGGGAAAAAAACATGGACTTTATTTATTTACTTTTTTAAAGTTTTTTTCTTTTTGACAGGGTCTTAATGTTTTGCTGTGTTGCCCAGGCTGGTCCAAAACTCCTGAGCTCAAGAGATCCTCCTGCCTCAGCTTCCCAAAGTGCTGGGATTATAAGCATGAGCCACCTTACCCAGCGAACCATGGACGTTAGAGTCCCAAATATTAGAGTTCAGAATTTTGGATAGCCACTTAACTTTTATGAGCCTTAGGGTTAATCCTGATCTCACAGGGTTGATAAGATTGCTAGACTGTTCTTTAGAAATGTTTGTAAGACCTTAGATTCCTTTTTCTCTTTTAGTTTGATCTCTCCTCTTCTTTTTTCTCCTCCTTCTATCTCCTGTTTTCCTCTTTCTCTCTCCATCTACCTGAAACTCTTATTTTTTCTCTTCTAGGTAATATCTAATAACTAACCATAATTTCCTTTAAAATCACACTTTAAGGTAGGGTTTTCTTTGGTGAGCTCCTGTTTATAAAACTCTGCCTTCATCTTGGTTGGTTTCTTTATCCGTGAAGTGGAGGTAATAAGAGTACTAACATCAGAGGATCGTTATGAGAATTAATTGGCATAAAGCACTCAGAATAATGCCTGGCACATAGTAATCCTGAAATGTTAGTTGGGATTAACTTGCAAAAATCTATTTATTTAACAGAGATTCTTTCTAGTCTTCACTCGGGCCCCCTTTTTATAATTTATTATGTCTGTCTTTAATTATGAAGAAAAGGGATGATAATAGTACATTTATATTTGATAATATGTGACCTTGATATTACCAGTCAAAGCTATCAGCATTGTATTTATATGATAGAATAAAAATCTTGATTTATCTTTAATGACTATGTTGAGGTGTGAAAGGCAAGACTGACATGATCATACTTTCTAGGGCAGTTTGAATAAAATATTTTCTAAATCTTTGTTCTCTGTTGGTATGTATACTAATGGAAATTCATTCCTTTTCTGCTTATCTTTTATTTCCAGTTGGTTAACGGACAAGGTGAGCTCACTGGTATGTTAATCCTTAAACCTCTGCTGGGCCTGGTGGCTCAAGCCTGTAATCCCAGCACTTTGGGAGGCCGAGGTGGGTGGATCACGAGGTCAAGAGATCGAGACCATACTGGTCAACGTGGTGAAACCCCGTCTCTACTAAAAATGCAAAAAATTAGCTGGGCATGGTGGCATGTGCCTGTAATCCCAGCTACTCGGGAGACTGAGGCAGGAGAATTGCCGGAACCCAGGAGGCGGAGGTTGCAGTGAGCTGAGATTGCGCCATTGCACTCCAGCCTGGGTAACAAGAGCGAAACTCCTTCTCAAAAAAAAAAAAAAAAATTCTTAAACCTCTTAAATATATTGCTTAGTATATCATTAACCTTAGCACACCCCTACTTTTACCAACAAAATTTATATTAAGACACCATAAGTGATCACACACACACACACACTTTATATATAAAGTATAAATGAACATCTCATTCTTTCCATGTGTCATGTCTAATTTGAAGTCATTTTTAAAGATTGACTGAAGTGACGGTTCCTTTAATAATTTAGCAGAAGTTACTAATTTGATTAATTTTACTTTTCCTCTTCGTAGTTACAAGTCACATTGTATATTATAAAAATTTTAATTACCAGGGTTAAATAAGAAAAAATATTAATTAACAATTATTTTTGACTTTTTTTTTAAGGACCTTACTCAATAATTGGGTCTTCATTGTTGACACAATAATAGCTGCCGAAACCTTTACCTAGTTGACTAGTTTGTTTGTATTAAAAAACAAGTTTCTGAGGGATAAGGTATCAACAAATGAGGTCTGAAACGCAAATGATCCGGAAAACAAACTTCACTTTTTAAGATAAACCTGTTTAGAAAACAAACTTGCATTGTTAAAACAACTACCTTTTGAGTCCTTCAGAGAAGTTGATGTACTGTGAAGTGAAATATTGTGATAACAGGTGGACCTAGAATATTTGTGGTAGACAGTTAAGTGGACTATTGAGGATGACTAAGAAAGCCCTATTTGCTGTCTTTGACAAGGAAGAATCATCCACATATAAGCTATTAAGATAATGAACACAATAGTAGAAATAGACTTAGAATGAATTTTCTTCAAAATCATCCCTACCAATACTGGACAACAGATGCTTATATATTTGAATTGTTTTCTGTACCTTGTGAAGAGAACCATGTTCTCTGTTTACCTTTAAAAAGAAAAAGATGTGGCTGTAATCCTAGCACTTTGGGAGGCGAAGGTGGGTGGATTATCTGAGGTCAGGAGCTTGAGACCAGCCTGGCCAATATAGTGAAACTCCATCTCTATTAACAATACAAAACTTAGCTGGGTATGGTGGGGCATGCCTATAATCTCAGCTACCTGGGAGGCTGAGACAGGAGAATTGCTTGAACCCAGGAAGTGGAGGTTGTAGTGAGCCCAGATGATTGTACCACTGCACTCCAGCCTGGGCAATAGAGACTCTGTCTCAAACAAACAAAGAGAAAAGATGCAATAGTGGTCATCTTTGTGGTTTGTGGTTTTCTTTTCTTTTGGACTATCAAATATGATTATTTGCACATTACACAATTTTCTTTTTACTGTTGAATATTTTAAAATGAACTTTGGTGATGAAAGTAATGCTGTTGGACTTTGAGTTCAAATCCCTTCTGTTTCACTGACTTACTTTGAGGTGGTAGTGGTGTAAAAGTAACCCTGTGAAAAATAATGTCACACCTCTTTATGACTCAGATCCTTTTGTGTGGAAAGTGGATAATACTTCTGCTGAGTATCTTACAGGCTTTTTGGAAAGTGTAGTTAGTAAAAATGTAAAAAGAAAGCTATTGCTCTAAGTTCATTCTAGGCACAGCAGAAGTTACTAAAGTATTCTGATATCTAAAAAACAAAATTTTAAGGATAATAAGTAACCTCCATCTCTGACCATTCTAATTCATTTTAGCTTGGATCCATTCACTGTGTTTTAATTTGGTTCAGTTCAATTTATTAGTCACTGAGCCCCACTAGAGCAAGTGCACTCCACACGGTTTGTTGGGGAAATGCAAGATGATTCAGATTTGAGTTTTGCCCTTGAAGAACTCAGTCCAGTTGGGAGAGCCTTGCATGTCTACACAAGACCTGATGGCTCTCCCATGAAACATGCCAAAAATGAGATATGAACACATTATGTGCAAGCTACTAGTTTGCCCCTCCAGCCACTGTAATCACATTAGCTACTTTCTCAGACAGTAAAATGATATCTTAATTTCCTTTTTTTTTTTAACAGTCTCACTCTGTTGCCCAGGTTGGAGTGCAGTGGTGCAATCTTGGCTCACTCCTCTGCCTCCCGGGTTCAGGCAAGGGAGTCTCCTGTCTCAGCCTCCCAAGTAGCTGGGATTACCAGCATGCACTACCACACCCAGCTAATTATTTTTATTTTTATATATTTTTTAATTTTTCGTAGAGATAGGGTTTCACCATGTTGGCCAGGCTGGTCTCAAACTCCTGGCTTCAAGTGATCTGCCCACCTCAGCTGGGTGGGCTGATCCAGCTGTAATCCCAAAGTGCTGGGATTATAGATGTGAGGCCTTAATTTCAGATGCCTTAATTACAGACACCATGCCTGGCCTTAATTTCCAAAATAGTAATGTAAATGCTTCTTAATAATATAAGTCCCATGACATTTAATCTTTGTGATCTCCTAATTTTTGACATAGCCCCCTTTTTTTATTTACTTTCTCTTCTCTAATGCTTTTCTAATTTCCATGCTCATTCTATTTTTAAAAATTCCTCTCCATTACTTTATTCCTATTTTCATCACGTATATTAAATGCAAAGATTTATTGACAACTGTTCATCCCCACAAACAAGGACATGAGTACACATATACAAGCGTGTACATGTGCGTATACTCACACATGTCTGAAACATCCTTTTCTCACACAGTTGTTAATAACATCCATTTAGAGTGGACATCTTGGATTTTAGGGAGGTAGAAAGCTTCTATAGAAGTTTCCTAAGATATTCCAATTCTAAAAATATTTTGATTACAGTTTATAACTCCTTTGTTAACTGCCTATTTTTTTTCGTGTGCTTTCATTTCATCAGTCTCAGTGTCTTGTGGGTACCATCCTGTTGTGTCCAGTAGACTGATTATCTGTTTTATTATTCAAAGACCCAAAGACCCAAGGCATGTTAAACATTTATTATTGGTGGAGTTTTGCTGTTGAATCTTGCCTAGACTTCTAGCTCTCCTTGACAGCTCCATTTTTTTTTGTTTCCAATTTTAACTTCTGTTAAATGTACCTTTCAGAGTAGCCAGCTCTTATTATAAGGAA